GCGAACATTTGGCTCTGAGGTTTGCGGTGGCCCGTCACGCTTTCCGACAACCCCTGGATCGGCGTGCGACGGCCGATCCGCACTACACAGCCGTGACTTGTTCAGCATCCACAACCTCTTTTGTGCAGCAATATTGCGTGTTGGGGCAGCCCGTCCGCGATGATGTCGACAATCGCATTGCCTAGCGACAAACGTCGCAGGAGGTGGCCGTCGCAGCGGCGTTGAAAGACGTCAAAGCAGTGATTACGAATTATGCAGGCGAATCGGCGCGATCTTGCCGGCACACATCTGCCCGTTGGTTCGTTTCACAGCACCGGATATGCGACGAGCACCTCCAAGATCTCGTCGAAGAGGCGAACGTCAATCGGCGCCATCGGGTCGGTGAAAACGACCACGTCGCGTGGCTCGACGGGTCCGTCATTGCCTTTGCTCTTTGGCATGGCCGCTTTGAATTTCCTCGATGCCTTTGGCGCCGCAGGTGGCTTTCGCTGGCTGTGTGTGTGGCGACTGCACATATCTCGGCTTCGTGCAAACCCCAAACAACCAGGAAATTGGCACGGGTTGCGTGCTCCATGGCCGACGCACACACTTCGAGCGTATACTTGATTGGAGCAGTCGTCGACACTACACACGTTTTTCTTGCGGTGGTACGTGCATTTGAGTTTGCCAGGCGCTCTGGGCCGACTACATTTGTTGAAGCAGCACACGGACGGTTGGGTCGATGGATGATCTGTGATGGGCATGGCACACGCGGCATCGCGGTCGCAGCTCCCTCGCGAGTGGGTGAACATGCGGCGTGGGCAAGGCCCGAGTAAGCAGAATGAAAAGCTCGACATTGGACGCTCGTACTACATCGTGTGTCCGGTCGTATCGGGCGGTACGTCCACGTGGGATCGCTCTGGAACGAAGTTGATGCGTCGTCGAAATATGTTTTCTTCGCGTTCGTGGCGTCGCAACACGATGCCGTCGGTGGGATTTGTGCCTACGTCGTGGGCTGCCTGGGGCGGATGGTCCGGTCGGAAACGACAAATTCTGCTGAAGTTGCGCAAGGTCAACGCCCTCCGGTCTCGATCTTTGCCAGTTCTGACCGCTGGTCGTGGGCTGGTGTGGCCAGTTGCTTCATCGATGTGCGTTTTCCGAGCTAGATTTGAACGTCGCCAGGCGGGTGGAGTTTGGCGCATTCCAATGAATTGTCGAGGAAGGGAGGGTCGGACTATTGGGTGGCTGGCGCAAGGCCACAGCTCTTTGTCACGTCGTTTCAACCGAGCTACGACAAACCTTTAGCCTGGATAAAAGCTGCTGTCGTTCTTGCCACTCGTCATGGAGGCCAGCAGTGCCAGAGCACGCTTGCAACGACGTCACGTCGCTGGACGAAGAAGCTCTACGTGGGTTGTACGATCTACTGTAAGTGCCACTTTCCCCGAAGCCTCAGCTACACATCTACAAATTCTACTGTATCCGTCGTAGTCGAGTCGTGGCGATTGTGGACCGTCCACGTCTAGCGGGTGGTGTGCAGGGGGGAGCATTGGGGAGCCAGCAATGCCTAGCGCCATCGCGCCTGTCGAATGCAAGAGCAGTTGCTGTGGGCGTTTGCTGTCACATGTGAGTGGCCATGTGCTCGATACTCGGCCATGGCATCGAAATGCTCCAAGTTCCACAAGGAATCAGCGTGTGCGCCGACTCCTTCACGCCACCAACGTTGGCTGCGAATGCAATGCCGCGTAACGTGTATTCACAAACGTCAAACGGACCATTCCGTTCCCCAGGGCATCCATATCGGGTGAATTGGAATTCCGAAAGTTACGGCAGTGCTCCAACTCAGCACCTTTGTCGATCCAGTCAATGGTGGCTGCCCAGGGGAACGACGAGGTTGGACATGCCACAGTCGTCGTGCCATTGTCCGCGTGGGGCGTTCATGTAGTGCTGACGGGACGCCTCGTGCTGGTGTCCCAGAACTGGTTCACATGAAGCCAAACCTTTTCGAGTTCGTCCAGGAAGCCATGGTCCGACGTCGGGAATGCCACCAAGAGCGCAGGATTCGACTAGAGAGATTTGAATGTTGCGCTACGCGAGAACTCGAACTGCACCGAGCAATCTCTGCACTGAGTCGAATTTCCTGTACTGGTCGGCGGCATGTCTGTCTCCATGCAAATCTCAGTCCCGCAGGCCCTTGGGCAACCGAGTCCCTCGGTTGCTGCCTCCACATTGCG